CCCACACACACCCACACCCACACACACCCACACCCACACACACCCACCCAACTATAACGAAACTCGCTAGTTGAAACGATTTTCGAATGATGTGATGATTCCAAGTAAATCGACATTTATGGGGCCACATACCAAATGATATCTCGAACAACAAATAGAAAGAAGATAACAAAAAACTATAAGAGAATGAGATAAGAACAAAGCACATGTTAACAACTCTTGCTGCGTCAGTCGTCTCACTGGTGTAATTGATATGAATCAGCTCAAGACAAAATTGTCGCGTACCATATTCCAGCGGAAATATTCGGATGGCAAACGAACACAAGAACATTCGGTTTTTTTCTGTCATAATCTATTTCAGTATATATTTTATTATTTGTTTCTATCAAGATTTCCTCTAGCGACAATTCAAATATTGCCTCGACAACTAATCGAGTGAAAACCGATTCAAACTCATTTACAAGTGAGGCTTTTCTCGATTGGGAAAAAACAGTTTACAGTCATGACTGGTCGATTCCCTTCAAACGTAAGTTTGTTACAGATAATATTTTGCACTAAACAGCTACAAGATCTTGATGTTATATACTAGTAGCGAAAATACCCGATGTTGGTCAGGAAATCTCCATATTGAAAAACTATAGGAGATGTAGATAGAGGTGTGCTTGAAAGTTTTGCATCTGTCACCACAACATGTCCTGTCGTGCATACTAGAGATGAATAACTCCGCTCCAAATCCACTCCTCATTCATGAAACCCCACTCCAACTCTAACTCTAACTTCCTTCCTATCTCGAAAGCCTAACTTCAACTCCACCTGCGGAGTTAGAGTTACCCATCTCTGCTGCATACACTCACACCTACGCCGAATTTCTATAGTTCAGCAAATATCGTGTGGATATGAATGTCTTCCTTTTCGCTCATGCACACTTCCGTACACCACACCCGCACACATCGCGAAAAGATCCTGGTAGTGGATAGACACCCTAAAGATCGTAAGAAATTCTTCCAAACTGAAAAATCGGTGAAAACTACAGTTTATTACAGCTGGGGGAAACTTCACCCAAGCCCTCATCCCCGCCACTGCCGGTGTCGCCAACCCCTTCTCCTAAGCTTAGAGGAGTTCCTTGGAAAGTTTGGTGACGCCAGCTATTACAGGAACGAAATGCATAAAGAACTGACAAACATTCTTCTTTATATATATGGAATTTTTAACCGTACATTGGTTAAGTTTTTTCCAAAATTAATTTTTCATCTGTTCTTCTCACTGTTATTTAGATGAAGAACTATTAGGTCAATGCCTTTTGTCGGCTACCACACTTGCTCACGCCGGTAAAATTAAAACAATGACACTTTCTTGTTAGCTCTTTTTTTTTCTTTATATGCCGTTGTTCCACTAAAGGTATCGCTGATCAAAATGAAAATTGCAAAAGATTCATGGAAATTCTGATTCCGGATACCGTTAAAAAGGTGCAGTATTATCTTTCGTATTATGTTTTCATACTCCTTTTGTTTTTTCTTATTCAAGTTACTATATTCATATCATGTCAGCACATGGACAAACGAAGTACAACTAAGCATATTCAATATGATCGAATTATTAATCGACTTGATTGCAGTTCGTCTTTCCTACAGACCTGTTCCTGTTCAATTGCTCGAAACATTAGCTATGCTCTTCGATTGTGATTCCGTATTTCAACTCAAACATAAAAATAAACCTTACGAATATTCACTTGACCAAACATTAGGTGATCGTGTCTTAGCCACTCCACCAGCGTCATCAATCTTCTCGGTCCATCATCAAAAAGATACATATGGCTGGCTGTGTCAAATTATTAATCGATTCGTTTTGAAAAATGGAATCAAAAATTTAAGAAAACAATTTCAAGATGAACAACGACTGACTGCTCTAGTAAGGACATCAAAATAGAAATATTTGTATAAAATCTATCTTCTCTAGGAATATCATGCTTTGTTGATGCCATTCGTCAATTGTATGAATTATCTTATCAAGGCACGATATCGACAATTGTTCAGTAAGGAAATCGATCAAGTCCTTGATTATATAGAAGATTTGAATGAAGAAAATTTCAAAGAGAACGTTCGTATATGTTTTTCCGTCTATACTTGCTAATATAAAAGTTTTAGTCAATAAATGACGCGTTTGAACTATTATCTATTCTACGAAAAATCTATTCGTCTGCTCGATCAAATTGTGTTGAACATGTCAACAAAGTGTATTTGAATCTTATTCTAAAAATGGTCACTCTATCGAATTTCGATGCCAAAATGAATTCATTGAACGAAGTAAATCAATACTGACCATTTTTTGCTCTATTAAGAAAAACTTTCTATAAGCAGCTCGCTAAAATCATCGAAGATAGTATATTGATTCCACATAATGTAATCACCAAATATATTATAAAAAATTCAATCCTATGGAAAGTACTCGAAGGTAAGTTACATTTTAATGAAAACATTTTTGAAAGACACAATCGATTCTTTTGCACGTAAATAGGAAATATCGATCAAAAGCAGTACATGGGAAAAGTACGAATATTAATGGATTTTATTGCACCACACATCTCGAAAGAAGAAATTGAAAAGATCTGGAAAATGCAGGTAGAATTCATTCGTTATCAAAAAGCGGACACTTGTAAAACGTTGTCTATGCATATAGCATGGTCGGTCATTTGTTAGTGTCGTTCATCTATTCACATTGATCACCAGTGCAGCAGCAAAATTCAATTTAGAACAAATCAACCATTTGATTGGTTGTATCTATAAGGTGAGTATTTAGTTTAGAATAAAACAAGACATTGAATTTTGTGAAAAATTTAGTCATGGAAAATAGAAACGGCATCTGCTCAAGAGAAACTTATCGTATTGTTGAGTGTAATTGGACGTCAATGTAAACAAGAATCGATTGGTCGGGTAGGATTTTATAAAAGCTAAAGAAACAAGTAACGCTCGTCTGAGGACTCGCTTAGCTCTTTCTCGTAAGAATGCGATCTCTCCACATTCACTGCAAAACCAATTGAAAAAATTGATCTTCTTTCTTTGTCATCGCTTCCAACACGCACTTGTGTCATAATCGGTAGTATACACAAATAGAGTCATATTTGCGCTACCGTAACAGTTTCCTCTCAGATTCGTTTTCAGCCAATTAGTGAAGTTTGGACGCTCACATAAGCAAGAAGACAATTTATGCTTGCTACACACTTCACTCCCAGAAGCGAACATCTGGATACTTCTAAAAATGCTTTTTCCTAAAAACTTGATTTCTATTGGTTCTCATCACTTACTTCTTCCACGCCTCTCGTCTCAAACCACTATAACGCTTATCCTTATTCACGTTCACCCACAACCCTCAAATGAGTGCCTGATTGTGGCTTTCCACGTCAGCTCTTTGTCGTACGAATTTTCAACCCATCAGTGAGGTGTGAACACACAAACAAGCAAGCAATCAGACAATTTGTGTTTGCTAGATTGTTCTCTACGAGAAAGAGAAAAAAAAGAGAGGATTAAAATTTTTGCTATTAGGTCTTGGAAAGCTTATGGATCATGGCACACGAAAATGGTCTCAGTCGATCGATGCTCGATCGTCTTCTTCGTAGTCACTACCGAGTATTTGTCGAGGATCGTCCAGAATACGACGAACTTAGACGGAATTACTCTCTCAAATGCATGAAAGATCTTCAGCGAAACACTGGCTGGCATATACCTGCCATTAAATATCTCACCGAAATCTTGCGTCACAATCCAACGAATACATCAAAGACAACGAATCAAGATATTATTAGTTTCTTAGTCCACAAATGTGATCTAATCAATGTCTTGATTCAAAGTCTATCAACTAGTCAACAGGATATGTGGAACATGACGCAGAGTGATGTCAAAGTCGACACAATAGTTGATGAATGTTTCACCCACGAAGAATCGACGAAAGCTTATCTTGATCTACTCTTATGTCTGCTGGAAAGTGGTAACCTCAGTCTGCCACTCAAATATGGCGAAACACTTTGGGATATGTTAATAAACAACGAACGAGCCAGTTCGTGCGGTCGAGAACTTGCTTTCAGTTGGTTTATCGATTGTTTGGAATATTTCAACCGTGAATCGCAAATTGCTCTCTTAGAGCGACGCATCTCGGACCTGGATCCGTTTTATCTTTCTCCTATAGGTAACTAAGGAAGATATCGTAGATTCAGATTAAAAAGTTTTTTTTTCAATAAGGCAATGCTTGCCTCAAACTATATGATGAAAACTGCAGACAATCACTGAAACCGACCTTGGATTCTAACGCATCGTCGACCGTAAGTACCTGCTGTAACTAGTCATTGCACAATTCAGAATTGTGAAAGTATAGGAAATTTATTCCATTTGTAATTTGCTATTGACGAAACATGAAAAGCATGAAGTGACCTCTTTATGGAGCAGTATGTTAACGAGTTTGAAGAGTCAAAGAATTCGAATGTTATGGAGATTCATCATCGCCAACGAAAATAAATGTAAAACGGGCTGTATACATTTCTCTTTGCGCTTAATTTTTTCAGACGTTCACCAATATTTAAGGATCGTGTCGTTGTGAGATTCTCGACATTTCTTTATACAAAGTAACTAAAATGAAAAGACCGATAATTCTGGAGATTTTACGACTGACTACAAGGTTTCGTTAGATTTTTTTCCGGCGCTTTCTATATTTGTGAAAAGTATTCAAGATGTGTTAGAATATATTTTATATTCGGTGTCTTTCTGTTAAAGTATTCAATTATTAAAAGAGATCTGAATTCATTGATTGGCATTCATCAAGGTGATTTAACAGCAGAACAAGTAAGTCTAAGTACACAAAATTAGTAATTGTAGATTCACACACACTCGATGTATTAGACCGATATTATCGTTGTATGTTCGTCATCAAAGACTCTGTGCGAAAGTGTTTTCAAAACCGGGGGAAATTCGATAAAAGTTTCGTACGAGACTGCAATTAAGAAAAGTCCAACTGCTCCTATCATTACTGTTGCAACGAATGGCCGGTTGACAGCGAAAACAGTTTACTTTCTTCCATGGCAACCTAATGCCGATGTCAGTAAATTTTGTGACTCCGTTAAAAAATTCGTCTCAGACGCAATGGAAAAAGCAGCAAGTGAAAACTATCAAAGTATTGCAATACCCGCTATTGGTTGCGGCCAATATGGATGTCCAATCAATCTTGTTGCTCAGACATTCGTTAAGGAAGTTTATTGTCAACTATTTAATTATCCTATGTCGGTTTTCTTCGTAATACACCCAGATAGAATAGATGTTTTCGATGAGTTTCAAAAGCATATTACGTTAATTCAGCAAACTCCAGAAAGAAAACCAATATCAATGACAATTGCAAAAGGAACTGTGGAAATTCAAATCGGAGATATAACAGCACAAAAGGTAACCGCTAAGACTTGTATCTACATCGATACAAAGTGTATTTTCTTCTCGGTTGTTGTCGGTAGGTTGATGTTATTGTTGGAAGCTCATCATCGCACATCTTAAAAAGAGCAATAATGAATGCGGCTGGTAGTGACGTTCAAATGGCATATGCAAAAGAATATAAAAGTAATCCAGATTCATTAACACTTTCGATTTCATCTGGTCAACTACCTTGCAAACGAATATTTTTTGTCAAATGGGAGCCCAACACCGATAAAGAAGTTCTTCAACAATCAATTGTTGACTTAATATGGAATGTTATTCAAAATATCATTTTGTATAAATTTACTTCGGTTGCATTTCCAGCTATTGGATGCGGAAAGCATGGCTGTTCCAAAGAGATTTTAGTCAAGACAATGGTTAGAGAAATCAAAAATCAACTTAAGATGAGAAATTTACCACTGACAATAAAATTCGTGATAGAACCCGGACAACCAGAGATCTATGATGAATTTTGTAAGCAAGTGTTGTCATCACAAGAAGGTAAAGTAAAACTTTTGCTCTTTCCTCAGTTATTTTCACTTTAATGTTCATCAAGTACAATGTGATGATATTCATAAATGTAGTTAAATTTGTGCACAAATTTGACTTTATTCCCATAAGAGCGTCAAATTATATAGCGTAGATTGAGATGAGACACGTAGAGGTAAACAGTATTGTAAAACAGCCTATTGAATTTATGCCATCGTTTAATATCGGTGAAAAGCGACGAAGCTGCCAAATTTTTCAACAGAAACAGACTAAAACAATATTTATGTTCGATTATTTTAGACTACGTATTTTTGAACAAACGAATTAGATTTATCCCTTGTTGTAATACAGAGTATCTAGCATCCTTTGAACTTTTTCAGTTGGTTTTCTAGTTGTTGTCGTTTGTAACACTTCTAGTATCTCAATTGTGGCAATGGCCGTAAAAAAGTAAAAAATGCATTTTATATTTTGGGAAAGACAAAGAAAATTTAAGTTACGCTTTTGAGCGCGCGAAAACGATTCGTCTAAGGACCAAAATATTTGTTTCTATCTAAAAATATCGATCTGTCACTACAGAGATATCGTTTTGATAACGATCATTCTAACTAAAAGATAGTTAGAGAACTTTGCTCGTCTTTTAACAGATCTTTCGACCTCAAATAGCCATGAATTACCTTCAACATGGGTACAATCAACAGAAAATAGAGTACGCTTCATAATGCCTATCAATACCGATGAATACAAATCGATTGTCACCAATTTCGATCTGACAATGAAAGGAAAATATACGCAAATTATACAGATTGAACGAATTCAAAATGAACGATGGTACATGCAATATCTAGCACATTGTCGAGATTTCAGAAAACGACTCAAGAGAGACACCGAAAAGCGTTTATATCACGGTTGTCCTCAGAAAGCTGCAGATTTGATTATTGAAGATTGTTTTAATAGAAGTTTCGCCGGGATAAATGGTGAGCTTTTAACGTGTGTCTTTTCGTGGTTGTCATGAAATTTATTTCACTTTTAGGTACAGTATATGGATTTGGCGTTTATTTTTCATCAAACGCTACTTACAGTCACAACTATGCTATTCCAAATGCTAATGGGAAACGATTTATGTTTGTGTCTCGTGTTTTGGTGGGAAACACAATCCTAGGGAATGGTTCAATGAAAACTCGACCCGTTGGATTTGATTCAACAACTGATGATAACCACATTTTTGTTACGTATCATGATGCACAAGCATTTGCTGAATACTTGATTACCTACAAATAGAAGCTCATTCTCATCACAGAGTTTCTTTAGGTGGAACAGTATTCAAGACAGGAAAAGACACGAAAAAAAAAAAAGAAATAAATGGCTATTTTTCCCTTTTTAAACTTATAAAGAATAATCAATGTCGTGTAAATCATTCAGCCCGTGAGTGAAATATTCGTTGAGAAAATGAATTTAAAGACAGAAAAAATGAAGTTAAGGTAATTCACTGTGCTAATTAGTATGTGTCTTGAGAATCATATGTTATGTTGGAGCTAAATGTTTTTGTAAAAGGAAAAAAATTGGAGAATAATACTTGAGGATGTGGGTCAAAGTGCGGGTGTGGGTAAGTCTTATAGAGTGTAGCGCCACGACTAGTCTCGTCCTTTATCAAGGGACTCGTCAGGTAGCTTTAGCACTGTCTCATCTCTTGTCTCGAAATCGAAAGGATACTGAAAGCCTCCAATGTTCAAAGGCAAACACTTAAAGCATAGCAGAGAATTCGTATAATACATTAAGTATAACCGGTATGGGTGTTGGTATAGGTGAATGAAGCTACCATGATCATGATTTCGTCGCTGCTAGAGGACTCTTCAGACGGCTTAATAGCAGTACTTGTGCAGATGATTCGAAGATCACAAACGAAGTACACAGAATATAGAGATAGTTGAATTCACAGTTCGAATCAGACACACCAAGGTTGCGATTTCGACGTTGCTTAAGGGTTTCATTAGTTGGCTTTGCAGAAGATGAATAATTCCAAGAAGGGTGTGGGTGACGGTGTGGATGTGGATGTGAGAGTAGTACTTCTACAGTGCATGGCCGCACCTACACCCACACCCAATTTTTACGAGATGTTCTTAATTATGTTCAAGTTTTTGTTAATGAAGAATATTCATTAGCAAGTATGAACTGTTTTTCCATGTCGTGTTTGCCTCAGAATTACTCGAATCATGTCAATTGAACTTGAATATATATAATTTTTTGATGAATTACTTACTATTCTAATTCAAACTCAATAGATTTCCAAGACGTTTTTACGCTATGCAGCTCTCTAGAGTTATCAAATGAAAACTCATGATAATATATTTTAATATGTCACACAAGAAGACAGAACAGTAGGACTGTACTTATCTCTGATCCGAGTCCACATCCTTACCTTTGTAAATCATTCTTGGTACGAATTGTATTATCTATAACTGTCTCAAAATAAATTTCTATTAGATTAAGTTGCATTCTGAAACACGCAAATAAAAAGGTCGATAGCGTAATCTCGATCGGATAAAAAATTTGAAGACTCTTCAGTTTTTGAATTCCTATTTATTGATAATCTATGCCTCTGATAAAAATTTTGAGAACATTAGAAGAATGTTTACGCACTGCGAGCTTGTTTTATTTTTATTTTTTTGTAAAACTGCGCTTTTATATGATATCGATTCTTGTCAAGAAATTTAAGATCAATTGGTATTTAGCTTGTCCAAAAGTGATGCTGTTAAATTTTCGACACATTTTGTTACAACTATCTCGAAATAATTGAAAGTTAGAACATTTGTTCACACATTATTCGATATAGTTTATCATTCTCGAGCTTCTTGAAAGATTTCATCATCGCTTGACACTGCTACATAAAAAACCTTTTCCTTCTAGTGTCGCTCATATAATTCTAGTTTCTTGTGAAAGTATTTCTCCAAATGAGATGCTTCTAGAGCCACTTTAGTAGTGCATCAAACGGATTTTTTCAGTAGTAAACAAACTTAAACTGTTATCCTTATTTTGTATCGATCAAATTTGAGATACTTAATCCGCTTATTAGTATTTAATTTTCATAAATATTTGTCTTCATCGTACACTTAGTCGTTGTGAGCAAGAATCAAGTTACTAGATCAAATCGGAAGCTCATGATCTGTACAAGAAGTTGAAAAATGTACAAGTAATGCTTAGATACGAAAGTAATAAAATCAATAGATAATTTTTGTAAAGAATTGAATTCTCCATCAAATGTTATATCATTCAGCATTTGTTGAAAAAAACATCAAATTCGTAATTAGTGAAGAAAAAACTGCATCTAATAAAGTATCTAGATTTGATCATCTTGAAAAATAAGTTTTCAAAGAGACTTGATCGTTAAAGTGTCGCGTTATATGAGCGGACGTGTGTATATTAATGTTCAATATCTACTCGATTAATATTTGGACGTTTATGCGCGGCTTTGTCGTATTTCAGTTGAGCATTTAGAAAAAATAAATTGAATTTCTAAATTTATAGAGAATTTCTAAAATCTCACAGGTTTTATAGAAATCTATCATAAAACAATAGTAAATTAACTACAAATTAAGAAATTTCTGTGTAAATAAAAAAATGGCTCAATCAGTACGAATTTATTTTGAACTGGAAAGCTTTTAGCACCATTTCTGTAGAGTTAAAAGATAAAACACGATGTAGCTGATGCGTCCAATTACGAGACTATTCTTTAAATTTGATCTATCTTGGGACTCATCTTTTACTTAATCCTCTAGGATTGCAATAAGAAACAAGTTCATATATCTTCATGACATGTTAGATTTATCTACCCTTATATGAGAACGAACATCCTACTTTCGAAAATAGATTAGTCATCTTAATATTTATTGATGAGTTTTTCGCTTTACTATGACGCATTAATAAATAAAGAAACGATGAGGTAATTGTCTATGCATATTTTCTTATTATTGTGAACAAAATGCTGCATTTTCAAGTGCACGTAAAGTATAGAATTTATGGTTTTAAAAACACTATTGTGAACATCATCGGAAAGATTCAAAAGCGTTGATTCTATACGAAGGTATTTCAGTTCGAGATTTAAATTCATGGTTTACTGCGAAACAAAACAAAAAAGTTCTAGAAAATCCGCTTCTGTATTAATCCTAGACAAATGTCTAGTTGGGTGTGGTTGTCAGTCTCTTCCTATCTTCAGTCTCACATACACCCAAACCCTCATTCCACACCCAGCTCGTCTTTTGTTTCAAAGCCACATTTTTGAGACTTCTAATTTCGATATTCGTAATCAGTATGATCGACTTGATATTGCTAGATTTGTTTCAGAAGTAGGTTTTGAAAAAGTTTTCCAGAAAACTCGGTAGGAGGATACAGGGATCAAAAGCCTCAATATCGTTTCAAGACAAATGAGTATGCCTATGCTGTAGCCCATGTCGAACTTGCTATTCCAGTATGGTTATCTCTCGAAAATACTTTGGACTGAAAAGTGGTCTTATCACTGCTTCTCAGTTATTCTGCATTCGTTTTAAGTACGCATAAAAACAAATAGTATATAAATAGATCAGCTGTAGATTTTCTCATTAGTGACAAATAGATATAGACCAAAATAGGTGTACACTAAATCCAAATCCAGTCAAATCCAATTCCTGGATTTGACTGAATTTGACCTCGATTTGGATTTGACTAAATTTGACCTGGATTTGGATTTGACTGAATTTGACCTAGAATTGGATTTGGTGCATCCCTAGAGCAAAATGACGTTTATGCTTGCTTTTTTTTATTTTTTATTTTTATTTTTTCATTCGTTTAAAGAAAAAAAGAATATAAAATAAAAAGCATCTGCATTCTTTTCGTTACACTTTCATTTATGAAATAAAATAAGAACCGGTGTGAAAATCATCTATTTCATCGTACCTCTCCGTATTATTTTGGCATTATGAGTTTTATCATATTTGCTTTGTTATTGTGTTTTCCTGTCATTTATTGTTCTCGTTTTATGGCGGTGTTTTTAACTGAGGGCATGAAGAATTTATTAAAAGATAAATTTTTTCGTTCTCATGAACATTCATCTCCATTTTATGGTAACACTCGTCATATTTATTGTGAACATAGTACAATTGAATTTAATCCAAGATCTGACAGTATGAACAACTATAAATCACATTACGGACACCTACAAAAATTAAGAATTTTAGCCTATGCCGAAGATGAACATGCACAAACAATCTTAGTTCATAGTGTCGATAGTAATGATAGTCATTGTTCAATGAATAAATATCCCCATGTGACTATTAGTGTCAGTAACATTAAACCTTATACAGCAGTATATTCTAATAATCTATGGAACAGATTGACTGATGACGGAATAGTAGAGATAACAATGGACGAATATGATAAACCACAATCGATCACAATTGAAGATCATACTAATGAATGGCATGGAAAACTGAATGGCATGGAAAACTGAATGGCATGGAAAACTGAATAGCAATGGAAGATATGAAGAAACACAAGCTTATGTTAAAATAATCAATGAAATTATTGATTTGGATGGAATTGTTTGTGTTGGCAATTTATGGAAAAATGATAAATGTCAAAAATATTTAAAAATTAAATAAAATTGTTATCATCCCATCGATATAGTTTTCTAAAGCATAATTCAATAAAAAAAGATGAAAGATCGAAAATATCTGTTTGACTTTGTTTTTGAAATTATCTTTCGGCCTGTCCGAGCGTGACGGAATCACTTTTTTCCACCTTGCGGTTTCTCTATCTCCATGAAATGAAGTTGGATAAGATGCTTGATGAAGTATAGATAAAATTGTTTTTTGCCCAATGTGCAGATTGTATTTGATTTTGGTTGTCAAATGCAAAATTTTCTGCATAATCTACTTGGCAGATAACAGTATAATCACTTTGCATTATTTTTAATATATTCAAAATAATTACTTTGTTTTCTTTTAATGTTTACTTGCCACAAATATTCTGGTGTTTTACATTTTAATTACTTAACACACTTCCACACTGATCCTTAAGTAATAAGTATGAAATCAATTAAAAAATATTTATTATTGTTTTAATTATAGTCTAGGCTTATTCTTACCAGAAAATTCTTGTTTCACTGCTCGCCCATTGAGACTTGTCCATTGAAACCAACTGACTATTTTTTTTTATCAATTATCTTCCTGGCAATATGCTGTTTGAAATTTTTTGCATAGGTGTCGCAGCATGACATCATACAGGATTCTTCTGATTCGTCACATACCATTTTAGATAAAAATTCATTCAAATTATTCTTTAAACAATCTGCTTCTTTTGGTTACACTTCCAATAACAGATTAACACTATCATGAATGACACAAACACATGTTCGATGTGCTAAAGTTTTCTTTCTTAAAATGTATCTTGGTCGAAGTTTAGCAAACATTGATCGACTAATCGATATATCTAAAGGAACATAAAAATGATAAACGGTAACATATAACGGCTGTCTTTGAAAGATGCATATAGAGGAAAGACCGAAAATTTAATTTTTCTCGAAATTTTTTTCAACTTATCAAAACACAATTTAACTCTATACTCTTATCCTATTAGACTTTTTTAGTGAAAAATACTCGCTCATACCTCGATGTTCTTGAATAAACAATTCATAAATCTCTCGAATATTGTATAGCAAAAAACGTTTTTAGTGTTGAACACAAATTCCATTTTCTCGGATGGTTAGATAGTCACGCTTTCCAGGTGCTTGCCAGGAAATACTATCCTTTTTGTAAAAATCATGGACTGTTCTCACAACAGCTTCAGATATATTTGCTTGTGTTCGTTCAAATGTTGGTTTCGGTAACAATTCTATATCCTGCCCAATACGTTTCAGATGTTGTTTATATGGATCATTAGGCAATGCACATAGAACTTTCTTCACAGCTTTAGCAAGGGTTTGTCTGCGATATGAAGAACTAAATAAGAAAAAATGCTCTGATAACATTTTTAAAAAAATTTTAATTCCAACTACTTAGGCTGCATTGTACAATCATTTTTGTTTTTTAATTTTTGACGATAGGGTCGTTGTGCTATTCGATGATTATTAAGGAATTCTTCTTGTTCTTTGATATTCACCAAAGCTCTTTTTCGAGCTTTTCGTCCACAGTCTTTTCGTTTAAAATCAATATATTCTTTTTTTCTTTTGTTTTAATAGATCATGATAATTTTTTGCTCTTTCTGCTGCTGTCAATGGCATTTTCAAAAAAAACAACTAAAATTATCTAAAAATTTAGAAAAGACAGTCAAAGAAAATCAACATTTAGTTTATTTAACGTCTGCGTACTAGAGAAAGTATACTACAATACAACGAATAGGAAAAAAATCGTTTAGAATAGGAATGTTGGTCTAACATTTCATTCTCTTTTTCTATCGTCAACAATTACACTTGTACTGATATATACAGCTGTAAACATCACATGTTCGTAATTATACCGAAGTATTATATAAGAGAAGATAAGAATAATAAAAACAGTCGACTATTGTTGATAGAAAAACATTCTAAGTTAAAAATAAGAAATTTTAACTGACATGGTGTTATCGCTGGTTATTGTCACCTAGATAGCATATCATCAAAATAATCTCTAGTGACAAAAGAAATCATTGAAGACACACTCTATTATTAAGCAATAGGCTTCTAAAATCACTTTTCTCGAGTCATAGATTTGTTTGAAATAACAAATTGAAAGAAAAATTGCGTTTCAACTTTTTCTTAAAAAAACTTGATCATTAGTGGGTGATTCCATCACGTCATTTCTCATCCGTTAAAATCTTCAAAAAAATTACCAATCAGACCATAAGATACAGTGTAAGAAATAGTATTTAGAGTACCACTTGTTTAAAAAAAAAGAACTTATTCTGGGCTAAAAATGAACTATAGAGAAGTTTCGTGACGGAATCATCTGTATCAATGTATGATATTTACAAGCAGAAAGATAATTATTAAAGAAGTAACGAAACGTGGTGATCTTGTGATAATTACATAGTCTATTGAAAATTTCTGTATGATTTCGACATTGCTCTACACGATGGTCATATTGGTTTTAACTAATTGAGTAAGTCAACTTTGCCCACCGAGGTGTACCGTTACGTGGACAGGCCGCTCTACTATATCCACAGAAAATTTCATCCATAACTGTTGAGTTATAATGGAGCTGTACATATAACAATCAGCAGCAGTCAATTTCTGCTGGACAATTTTGATTGGATGATGCTTTAAATTGAGTTATTTTTTTCCACAAATGTTCAAAAAGGACTAAATATATATCAATGGAAAAAGGAGAAGACGGGCTACATTTTGGCTACTAATAATTTTCAAAACTAACTTTAGTATGAAATATCATGATTATTGTATGAAAAGTTTCGCCTACCGCTTATTTGAACTCTTTATCTTTTTTTGTGTAGAGATTCAATTATTTTTAAATATGACATTCGAAAGAGCGTCAAATGCTCTTTGATACTAAAGACATTTCAGACTTCAATTACTTCAATTTAATGGCTTTTTTATCGGCAAATGCCGTCAAATATTGCCGTGTCCGAAGATTTTAGCTTGTATCATAGTACCGTAAGTCGATAAGAGCTAAAGACCTTATTCAAAATCGAAAGCGAAAATAGCATCTGTAAATGTACTAAAAATGTTTCTCTGAAACTTTCATTTCAAGCTCATAGTGCTTCGATTAAATATCCTTTTATAAATGTTTTTAGACATATTGTTTTTATCCTTTTTGTTATTTACAAAGTAATTTCAGTGCTTTTTTCATTCTGTCTTCATGTATTGTGGTCAAGGGAGAAAAAGCGAGACTTTGTACTTCAAATTTTTTTTGAAGTAGATGAAGTCTCACTTTTTTACCCTTGTGTCATGCCCAATGAGAAAAATGTAACAATAAACGAGGAGTAGTAACAAGTTCGTTATATAAGAGTTGTTGAAGCAAAGCTATGCTAAATCTTGCTCAAAACACATATGAAAGTTTTGTCCTAGTTAAAGATATGGATATGGGTGGAGACCAGATCCAGATCATTCTACAACCACATCTTCAGGTGAAAAGAATGCATATGACACATTATTATTATATTATATAATATAACAATAACTATGACGAAAAACATTTCTTAGAAACTTTTTACCCATTGAAATAGGTAAGCACAATGATAAGAGTACATGAATCAACTTTCAGAGTTGTGTATGGTTATGACGTATGAGAAGAACCACACTTACAAGCATGCACGCTCACGCTCAAAATAATAAACGCATCTTTTTTTAACGAAAACAAGCATGGTGTGAATTTAATTATGGTATTGAACTATGTCCTAGAAAGAAGAGTCTCATACAGTGTTTGTTATGTAATTATTTTTTTGAATAGAGAATTCTATCGACATAACGTAGATAAGATTTCACTGACAACGAAGTCTTTTAATAGAAAATTAAGTTAAATTCAGCTTCTTATATATTTTTTTTCTTAATGTTATTATAGTAAATTTTTGAATTCTTAAAAAGAAAGTAAAATTTTAGAACGTTTCTCTTTTTTTTTAATGCAGCACGATCTTAAAACGATCATGACTTCAAAATCATCTGAATCGAACAAAACAGCATCTAGTATTCAGTTTCTTATCCAACTTAAGTGCCAAGATCTCAGTGTCGCACTGAAAATTGACTGAAACTGCCCGAAGTTTGTGGCTATTGTACCATTTACTGAGTGTCTTTGTTCTCAAAAAAATAAGTACTGATCTTTCCCAAATATTTAATTGCCATCCAGAAGTGAAAAGTCTAGATAAAGTACTGACTATATCATCTGTTTTCATTGCTATCGCGAAATATGACATAGTTTGGATTGATGGAAATTTCGTTCAATCTATCAAAGAAAAAAAATTTACAAAAGAAAGATAAAATCTTTTAACACTGCATATACAAATCGAAATTTAATTGTGAACAATTCAATGTCTCTAGCAGCTGAAAATCGAAAAATTGGAATATAGAAAACTATGATAATTAAATTTTAATAGGGTGTGAGTGAAGAGATAATTCACGCTCACCCTCACACCTACATCCAACATTCTTTTCGAGACAAAGTAACCTATTTAACAAACGTGGCAATTATCATGATTTTGATTGATCTTATTCCTATAGAAACAGCGAAGTCATTCTCTGTCAAGTTGACGTTTTTTTCTTTATAATCAATTCTTCATAAAAATATAGCTTTTATATTTATTTATATAATTTTAATTTTAATTGATATGTTTGTAAAAGGAAAATGAAATAGTTTTGTTTCATTATTGAAACAGATAAAATTTGACATAAATCGACAGAATGAAATAAAAATGTTTTCCATACTCTATCAAACTGATATTTTGTTTTAGATTGAAATAAGAAATAAAAATGTAAGTAACATATTTATCAATGTGCCTTTGTCGGATACACGTAAAATAATTAGAAAAAGTGTTTTACTTTCTTTCATGTGCTATGGATAATAGATATTTTTTTTGGTGAGTTTGCAGATGACGTGAATCGTTAATTATCACAAGTTTTTTTTTTGACTTCTTTCTTTTATATTATTTAATGAGTGTTCTTATAAAAATGACGTAACTGTAAAGTCTTTTCTTGATTAAAAATACAGCCTACGAAAATTGAAATTATACCCTTTGATTTTCGTCTTTTTATTTTCTGTTATGAATCAAACAAAAAGAAAATAAATAATCAATATCAAGAAAGAACTTTTTTATGTTTATAAAAATTTATATGAACTTTGTATGTCTGTATCTTGATAATTGTTAACATTGATAATATTTAATATCGACCTTTGTATATGTCATAGGGAAGTTACACCGACTGTCGAAACTGTAACTTCGATACTAAAAGAAAATTTGCAGACATCAACATTTTTTTTTTGTGATGAAGACGTACATGTATTTTAAATCTAATTCAAATATAACTATGCTTGATCTATTAGTACATGACCGACACTTCAAATTCATGCATATTCTATTAATTTATTGTTTGCACATAAAATAAAAAGATATAATCTCAATTTTTGTAGATTTTATTCATATAACGATGATTTCAATTCTATAATGATGAAATAATATTTTCTCGATTTTTAGCAAGAATCTTTGTTGGTGATATAAATGCCTTAAAATTTTTCTTTAATTATAATATAATAATGGATGCTCTGTTTTTTTCTGGTAAATTACTTGGTGCAAAACGTATAGCACTTTTCTAATAATTATATGTTAAACTAGAAAGAGAGAAAGCTGTAAATAATGTAAGAAAATAAATGATTATGAAAGATGTGTGAACAATTATAAAAGAAAAAAATATTTTTTAAAAGTAAAAACAATTAAAAAAAATGTTTTGGATGATTGTTATTTTATCGTTATTATCTATTATTGGTTCTATTCGAATCGGTAAAATAGAAAATAATATAATGATTGGTACAATAAATCGTTCATTATTCAATATAACACGTAATCAATGTATATGTCAATTGATAAAATCAACTGACTTAATATCTGCTTTAAATTATTTTCAAACAAATAATACTTGTCAATTATTTTATTATAATACTAGTTCAATTATAATTAAATTTAATTCAAATTCTTCTTTTATATTTATTAATCGATCATCAATATCAATAACAACTATTCAATCAAATAGTAAGTATTTTCTATATTGCATGAGATATCTCGAATAGAAATGAAAGTTCTTATATTACTTCAAAAAAACAAAATCGAACTCCCATTATATTGTAGAAATAGCCAAATAATAAAAGACTAAGGTTGATTGAATTATTGAAAATGTCAACACAATTATAACTGTTAAAAGTAAATATGAAAATAGTGATCAATTAGCGAAAGTTTATCTTAATTTGAATAGGATAGTTTTATTGTTAAAAACTTATTTGTAAATGAAAAATGATTCAAAACATTAGCTCTATCAATATATCATAAATGGATATCGATAAGAAAATTGACTGTTGACAGAAGTGTGCAGAGGATATTGCATAACGATTTTAGTTGTTTTTCATACAATAATATAAGATTAAGGAACCAAAAATGACTGATCTTCACAAACGGAAGAAGATTAAGTTCGAAAACTAGGTGCACCGCACATTTTCTTACATAATACCCGATGATCCGTTAGTCGGCGAATTCATCTAATCTATAACTTTTGGATTATGATTTATGAAATAAGCTAACTGAGGTTGAGAGCTGAGATTACAACAAAGGCAGCATTAATAGAGAAATTAAAACATATTGCCAAAAACATTGAAAAAGAAAAATTTTTACATTCTATACTTGATTTCACTGTATGATTATGTTTGATTCAAAAAAAAGAACTGAGGAAACTATATTTGTTAAATAAAATATATCTTTTTCTGTAGAATTTAAGCCCTATCTTTCGAATAAGAAAAAGCGATTCAGTCGGATACAAAATAGAGAAGAAATTTTGAAAATATTAACGGTGTAATTCCTTATGGATCATCCGTCAAACTATTTGTGACATAACGATCTTTAATAAAATAGCAGTGTCTCATATCTAGAAAATCGAAATGCAAACGGAGATGCCACATCTCCCGATGGGGTGCTAGTCTAAAAAAAAATAAAAATTTTAGTAGGAAACGACAAGAGATGGAGATACCGCATTGGCTCTAGAAATGCATGCGTCTCCGGCATCTCCCTTAGTGAGGACAAAATGAAGAAGAAGGCTACCTTGCAGTATAGGATGCTGTCGGGAGACAGTTTCATAAGTCTGATATTTTTTCTAAAACTAGTCTATCTGTAGGTGTGAATTAGAGATGTGCAGGACTACGAGAAAAAAAACGTTCCCGAAACCACAAAAAAAAAGAGAAGTTCATAGGACCGGGACTATGAGAAAAAAGTTGTTCTAACCGAAACTAAAGATCTTAGTTAAATGTTCTATTGTTTTAATCGATTTATCTTCTGAGGACGAAATGACACACATTAATAGTCTCTCCTTGAATAGAGATGAGAGTGAAAAGATGTCAGACAAAACAAAAAATTCCTTATCAGAAGACGACGGAAGATACTCATCCCTCTGTTTGTGATGCATATCTGGCATCTCCGATTTCTATGATATATAACATCTATCTAATAAAAGACAAGAAGTTTCCATTACTGATTATGATAATATATTTTAGTTACTTCAATTTCATCTTTATCTTTAATAAATGCATTTTGGCCTTTTGATGGTAATACCAATGAAAGAAATTCAAATTATAATAGCTTTTCAAATGCATCTTTTTCAAGTCCAGGTATTACTGGTTATGGTTCTGCATTATCTTTTAATGCTAGTCTTTATCAATATGTTTTAACTAATTCAACAATTAATTTAAATATATCATTTAAAAGTTTTACATTTGAATTTTGGATTTATCCATTTTCATTAGTAACTGGTGATCGAGGTATGATAGGTCAATGTCAATCACTTTCACCAAACAAATGTTTACATATGACAATAAGAAATAGTAAAATTCGAATTAGTTTTTATAGTAATGCATGTGATGGTACAAAAACAATAGTTATTAATAAATGGTATCATTTAACATTTGTTTATGATCTATCAGCAACTACTCAAATGATTTATATAGATGGTATTCTTGATTGTATTAGTAGCACATCTGCGCCATTACAAATAACAAATTTAACTTATATACCTATTACAATAGGTTATACTTCTCCATTAAGTCCATATTATTTTGATGGTCTTATTGATCAATTATCATTAGTTGAATGGGTTAAAAATAGTAGTGAAATTTTAAATGATGCAACACTTGTTAGTTGGTATTGTTTTGATAATAATAATTCAACAAACGATTCAGGACCAAATGAAATAAATGGAATTAGTATTAATACAACATTTGAAAATAATACACTTTTATTAAATCAAACAAAATCATATTTTCAATCATCTGGTTTTGTTCTTCTTGGTATGGATAATCATTCATATTCATTTTCAATTTGGATTAATCCTATTCAAACACATAATACTACAATATTATTTATTTCTCAAAATAGTTCAAGTAGTACAAAATGGTGTTTATCATTTCTTCGATTTAATTCTCAAGGTAAAATTCAAGCACAAAGTCGAACAAATGGAGGATTAATAAATGTTACAGGTCCATATATTTCAAGTTATACTTGGACACATATTGTTCAAACATATTCTTTAACTAATGGTGTTAGTCTTTATATAAATGGATCATTATTTGATAAATCTTCATCATGTGATTATCGTGGTGGTAATACACCATTAACTATTACATTAGGTAGTTATATGGACAATATAAATAGTATATGTTCAAATTCATCAATTCAAGGAGGACAATATTTTGGTTGGATAGATGAATTTCGTGTTTATTCAAGAGAATTAACAGCTACTGATGTACGAACATTGTATATAAGATAATTTAACTATATATTAAATATAAAAGCTAAAATTCGATGTTGTAGCTTTCGATTTCATATATTATCTCAATAAAATCTTAATTTATTCTTAAAAAAAAAGTTAGCATAATCCCTAGGGAATTAAAATGTGAGACATGTTGAAGCTTCTTATATTATAAATGAAGGAAATCAGCAGCATATGTATCACTTTTTTGAATTACTATATATTGTTACAAGAAGTGTAGAAAGAGGACGAAAGCGAGAGAGACACAAATATCTTAAATTCCAGTATGTTATCTAGGTTTTCTCTTCCCGACGGTCGATTCAAAACTCAGGTAGGACGAATAGCTACTTTCCAGAGGATACACAAACATAATATATGGCGCTATAATTCTGAATTCCGGAAGGGCACTGCTCTCCCAACTTCCACGCTGGATAAAAGGGTGGGGATCTGAGTGAAGAGAAGATATACAGCCATACACTCATACAATTAGATAATTCGAACAAAATAGAAAAGGATGCCTTCGTAGTCGTACGATTAATCTGATCATGACGTCTTTTTTATATTAATTTTAAAAGAAAAAAAGTAAACGAAATACACTATCAAAGAGAACACATCGTCAAAACATTTACGCACAGAACAAGAAAATCGATTTTTATTAAGTAGAAACTTCAACTGAAAAAACTTCACAAACGAAGATTTTTTTGATGATTATTCTACTACATTAAAGGAGCATATAAGATTATTTTGTATTCATAGGTCGAAAATCGAGGAATGTGTAGGTGTCGTCCGACATCTTCGATATATCATGGCATAAATCCATCACCTATGGACATAACCACAGCTATTCGTTCATCTAATCACCAATGATGAATCGTTCAGTTATCTAGTCGACACCTTTTTCTGCGTCTCGTGACGCTCAAGACATCAGTCCGAAGACTGATAAGATTTGGCCAGACAACATAATCAATGATGATGTCGAATACTTGGGAAAAAAAACTAAAGAATAGTCTATCGAGATGTAGGTTAGTATTTTATCGCGTCTCTTTTTCATGTTTCTTGTTTCTTTCTCTCTCACTTGTCTACTCCCGTACGTGATCTCTATGTATTTGCTTTTCAGTGATCATTTGACTGCAAAAGGAGTTTGACTCGAAAATCATTAATCAATCATGTAAAAAATAAGTATTCTTTCACGACAAGTACACGCAGTAGAATGAGAAACGATGGGCATCTTACTTGAAGAGAGAAGATAGTCAAAAATGATACCGAAATTTGTGGCCGATGTTTTTTTCTTTCAAGAAAAAATGACATCTATTACGATGATGATGAATTTTATCCGATCTTGAACGACGATAGACAGAGCATAATGATTGATAATATCAAGTTTTGATTTGAATTTTGTTTTTATCGATCGAATGCAAATCGATTTACTTATAACGTATAAAAAACAACTGAATGTGTCTATCAATAATCATGTTTGATGTCGCGGTGAAACTCGCATCCACATACCGTATTTTGTTCTACAAATCGATATTGGTTCAAAATAACCAGATAAAAACGAAGTCTTTTACTTCATTATCTGGCACGGATTTTTGATCTGGTTCTAATTCGAAATGAAATTGTTGAATCATCAATGTTAACATGATTTTTGCTTTCAACATAGCAAAATTTTCGCCAATACATGAAGGTTAACCTGTAGACAAATCAACTGTAATAAAGAATTCGCTTACAAGATGAAGCATGTGAAAATTAAGCACCATATCGATTTCTTTCTTTATATGCATTTCTTTGCCATTACTACTGTCCGTTTCAAAATATAGTACGCGCCACTGTTTTTTAAATAACTCAAGAACGCAACGAGCTAGTGACCTGCGGTTTTCACCAATCAATAGATGAGACAGGAGGACGTCTTTTTCTCAGATAATGTGTCAGGCGAAATCCTTTTAAAACTACTCATCTTTGAAAAACATGGAAAAGAATGCATGAAAATGACCTGCCATTCAGATGAAATTTTCAGTTTGACCTTTGATTTAGATAGAGGAACTTGAGATCTACAGTTCAAGATACAATGCAAATACTTTTCTTATTGCATTTTCAGGTTGACCAGATGGAACCATGTATTTAAATGCGCAATTAATAGGGAATTTTACTGATTTTTTACTATGTTTTTGCATTTTTATCATAATAGCTGGACATTTCGATTAAAACGTAAGGAAAAGTAAGAAAGTGCATTGTATCTTAAACTATAGATATCAAGTTCCTCTACCTAAATCAAAGGTCAAACTGAAAATTTCATCTGAATGGCAGGTCATTTTCATGCATTCTTTTCCATGTCTTTCAAAGATGAGTAGTTTTAAAAGGATTTCGCCTGACACATTATCTGAGACAAAGACATTCCCCTCTCTCATCTATCGATTGGTGAAAACCACAGGTCACTAGCTCGTTGCGTTCTTGAGTCATTTAAAAAACAGTAGCGCGCACTATATTTTGAAACGGACAGTAGTCCAATCTACCACTAAAATTAATCTGGTAGATAGGCGACTGAGTGATTGAGGATCCTCTCTCAATCATACTCGCATTCCAAGTTTATTAAAGTCTCCTTCTTAAATACTCTCGAATTCTGCTTTCTTCTGAAACTATATACTTTTTACTTTAATGTTTACTATTATATCTCAATTTTTTTTTCATTTCACTAATTTCAATACAATGGTGTCGCAAACAGTCGTACATCATATAAAGTGGAAAAACAGTACCTGTGATTGCTCTTTCAACTTCGCTTTCGCAATACAACCAGGTGAAAGAATAAATTATTAATCACATGTGGATTTTATTTGATTTTTAAATTATTTGTTTTGTTTAATATATGTAACAACCATATTTTCTACAACTAAATCAATGTCTTATTCGCGCATCAACGATTATCATACGATATTGCAATTACCTAGAAAAGTATATGACATTTTCATGACACATATCGGGAAGAAACCAACAATTATGTTCTACCATTCATTTTTCTTTCCGTTCTTTTCTATTTCATCATTATTACTGTCGTTTATAACTTTTTCTATGCAATATATTTTACACGTGTGTTTGTTGTTCTGTTCTGTATTTCAATGAGACAGGATTTTTTTTCTTCTTTAGTTGCCTTACAGTTTCTTGCAGATGTAAACGCATGATTTTATTGAGAGCTTGCAATATTTTCCTGATTTGAGCGAAAAGTTTTTACACATTCAAAACATATTGCCGATTTTTATTATTCACAATCATCTATTATTTATTCGGTCATCAAAATTTCGTATCGTTTATTTGTGCTCAATTACTATTCGTAACAATGGCCACTAATCAATCAACAACAAGTGCAGAGTAGGCAAACAATTTCATGTAGACTTTTAAACAAAGTATTTTTTTTTTCATCGACTGAAAACTTAGAGAATAACTACAAAAAAAACTCAATTATTGTATTTTTCATTAACTGTAAATTAGAATTCCAAGTCATCATGACTAAAACCTCACGCGTAAAAACTGTTTACTTTTGATAGTAATCATCGTAAAGGGAAGTAATATAACATAAAAGAAATAGAGTTTCGAGCAAAATTATATCAAGTTTCATCCATGACGATTTAGTCAATATGTTCGATAGTGTTAGTAACTGTAAATCGACTAGTTAGAATGATCTTTTTTTTTTTTTGTTTATTCAATTTGCATATAAAAAATAAATCTAATTTTATTGATCTAATAGCTATACTTCATTCCCATTTGCAACAAATCGAAATAACATTACAGACGATTATGAAATATCACCAGACGCATTAGGTGTTGGCATAAATGGTAAAGTACTCAAATGTAAACATCGTCGAACTGGACAAAAATGTGCTCTTAAAGTATATCTTTGATTTATTTTGACAAATATATCAATTGACTTTTTTGTTTTGAAATTTCTATAGATTTTAAAAGATTCAATTAAAGCTCGACAAGAAGTTATCCTACATAAAAAGGCATGCGAAAATTGTCAATACATTGTGCAAGTACTGGACGTCTATGTAAGAATATTTTTTTCGAACTTCTTTTGCTTTTCTTTTTTCTTCTATTATTCTACTATTGATTCAATCTTTTGATTTATTACAGGAAAATAAATTTCGATCTCAACGATGTATATTGATTGTAATGGAATGGTATAGTTGATTTTTCTTTGATATATGTATCCATCTATATTTTTTAATGAATTATTATTCTAGTATGGAAGGTGGTGAATTATTCAATCGTATTCAACAACGAAATGATAATCCATATACTGAACGTGATGCTGCTAGATATATTTTGATGATTGTTCAAGCTGTTAATCATTTACACAAAATGGATATAGTAAGATTTTTTTCATGTAATTTATTGTTTCTATAGTTTTTCATTATCGTTTTCACGGGTTTTCTAGGCTCATCGTATGTAGTTTTACAATGAAACAAAAAAATCTGATGAAATATTAAATTTATTATCCTAGGGGATTTAAAACCAGAAAATCTACTTCTAACAAATCAAAGCAATGATGCTATTCTCAAACTTGGTGATTTTGGATTTGCTAAAGAAGGTAAAATAATACTTATTGGAGAAAAGAAATCCATAGATTTTTGTTTATTATTTCTTTTTCTAAGGACACAATGAACCATTACCATTGACTTCCCCATTGTATAGAAATGAATTAACAATATCGAATTATTTCATTAGCCTTTCTCGTTTAGATTCACACCGTATTATGTTGCACCAGAGATTCTGTATCACAACAGATATGACAAAGTATTAAGATAATGATACTTTTATTTTGATAGTCTATCGAAAAGAAAATCAAGTTTGAAAATAAGGCTTCCACTCTATGAAATTCAAACACAATTTGATTTGTGTTCTTTTTTGAGAAATTAAAAGAATTGTTCTTCATTTGTTTTATTCCTTATATAATAGGCCTGTGACATTTGGTCGATGGGTGTGATTATGTATATTCTTCTATGTGGTTATCCACCTTTTTTTTCGGAAGGTGGACATACGATCAGTTCTCGTATGAAGAATAAAATCAAAACCGGTGATTATCGATTTCCAGATGCTGAATGGCGAAATATCTCATCAGAAGCTAAATCAACTATTCAACGAATGCTTACAGTAGATCCAGTTCAGCGTATTACAATTGATGGAATTCTCACATCTTCATGGCTTACTGAATTGACATCCGATAGAGCAATCAATATGAATGCACTTCAAGATGTAGAAACTCGACAACAATTAGAAGTAAGTTAAAAATCGAATTTGTGTTTCATATTTTTTTTTCAATTTACTTTTGTGTTTTTATAATTTTTCTAGGCTGCAGGTGGGTGATTGTACGTTAGAAAAATAGTTCATTAATGATTTTTGATTGTAGTTGCATCTGCTACTGATGATCAACGTCGAATTGATGATGATTTAGACATTGAAATATCTGGACCAGAGGCATCACGTATTGCTAAACGAGCAGCCAAACGAAAACAACAAATGGCTGTCGACAATGAGGAACATCAGCAAATGTGAAGTGAATCCGAACATGATCATGACGAAAATTGAATGATTATACTCATAAAATCGAAAAATTAATTGTGAATCTATCTGATAAGAGTTAGGATCGTCTATATCGTAAATCTTACCTTTTTTTTAAATACTTTTATCAAAGAGAATGTTTACTTTTACAGTGTAAATATTCTCAATAACATGGAATAAATCATTCAATTATATTTAGAAATTTCTTCATCATTGTTTGACATGTTTAGTAAGCATGATTGTACAATAAGTTGAATTTTCTTTTTAAGTAGAATTACTATGTCAAGAAAGTTAGCAGTGAATTTGAATATATTCTGCTAACAATCACTTATGGATTTGAAATAGGTTAGTAGTTGGTAATGAGTAATGTTAAGTTGAATTTTCTATCAATTCCTATGCCATAAAAATCATGTCATTTTCGATGATTAATTACAATTAATTAACGATTTTTCAACAGACTTGAAGGTGTGGGTGTGGGTAAAGAGAAAGCTTACACTTACACCCACACGCAACTTCTTTTCGATTTAGTTCGAATAACTGTTACAACTAGCGCAAGTTGTTCTGCTGCCTGGTTCTGGCCTCAGCGTGTGACCTTCATTAGGCCGACTGTCTCTTGCATATCTTAACTTTGACGAACAACTGCGCAAAGGCAAAGTAGTCGAGTGACGTCGCTAAGACCTTTATCGAACGATCTGTGAATTTGTTTGGATATGTACATGTTTTTATGTTCTATATCATCATTCTGTATTCGAGCCTAGTAATAAGAGCTGCCGATTTCAAAATTTTACTGAATTGTACATGTTAAGAGTAGATCGAATTTAGGTGTGATGTGAGTGAGAAGACGCTTGCCCTATGCAACTGCACCTTAGTTTTAACACAGTGTCTTATTTGAGTTTTTGTTTATTATTCAGCTTTGTAACATTGATATATATCAGAAAGAAGTGAATTAACAAATCAATTCCATAACAGAGAACTGCAGTATTATATTATTGATGGAGGAAGTTTTTTTTTTTAAATAGTGAAAAATGAAATGAATATAGGAAATTAATAAAGATAACAATCTATTTTGTATTGCTTTCTCTTATCCTCACCTACATCGAAAAAGGAATGTGAAAAAAGATTAAATATCAATAAGAAAAGAGAAACATTGAGAATGGTTTGGACTATATGACAGAAATGGATGGCAAATTTTTTATTGAAAATTAAAGAAGAATTAATAAAATACAAAGAAGTTAGTGGCATTTCAGATATTTTGCTGGTGATTGTAAAACTTCTTTGTCTTCTGCTACTGTGGTCGTAAGAACATCTTGTTCCACAGTAGTATAATGAGTACGTTTTCGCTTGACAATTTTCGTCGATGTAGAAGAATTACAGTCTGAAGAATTGGAATTCATCGAATGTTTTATAACATTGAGTTTTGTTTCAACCATTTTCATTTCATTCAGAAAATCGTGCATTTTAAAAAATTCCAATAATTCTTCATATCTTTTATGAATATTAAAATTGATTAATGTATAAAGTTTTCTCAGATCAATTGGACATTCAAGTAGTGGTTGACTGAAATCTTCCTCTAGAAGTATGTGAAACAATAAAAACCAATAATAAATCAGAATAAGAGTTCATTTTTCGAGATCGAACTCAGGAACTTGATATATCCTACGTCGTTCTTTGAAAAAGAAAAAAAAGAATTCGCTTACCTAAATCTCCACTGCCATTGAGTAGACAAGAATAGAATATACAATGAGCAATTCCAAATAGATGACATATTTCATGCGTTAAAAGACGACAAGTTCTAAGTAATAATAAATTTCGTCGGTTATTAATTTGTATCTTTGATTTCGAAGGATCTTTTAATTTACAACTAAACCAATCGAATTCATTAAATGTTAAATATGGATCATATCGATAGAGTGAAAATGTTGCTACACGAAAATTACCGCGAGCAAAACCAGCAATAAATAAATCTGTTTCATCACCATAGAGATCATACATTGTTAATGCAATAAGACATCGAGCATCATTTGGTACAATTTTTTGTAAGAGATTTAAAATTCCTGTAACACAAATTTGTGAATGTTTGGTTTTTTCATGAAAACGTGTACGAAGTTTAAAACTTCGATTTTGACCATTATTTAAATTCATTATACCTAGTTGTAAAATTCGAGAAGAAAATTTTAAACTGTGAAAACTTACATGTCCATTGATTTGTTTGATCATTCCATTGAACATTAATAAATGGATTGATTATTTTAACTGGCATTTGAAAAAACCGTTGTGTATAATCAATTAAACTATCAATATCAAATATGGTATTATCAATTTGTCCAAACATTGTTAGATAGATTGTTTTTCTATGTGAAGATGATTGTGTATGAAGTGTTCGAGATAATTGAAGATATTCCATATAAGTTTGTCCTTTTTCAACATTTTGTACAAGCCAATTTGTTGATTTCTTTGGTAATGGTAGACTATCAAATGTTTTGTAAAAATTTTGAGTAAAAGCAGAGTTTATATTATCATTTGAATCAAATTTTCCTAAAGCTTTGTCTATATCCATTTGGCTTGGTACTTTAAAACCATGAACATATGACAGAGATTTGCGTTTACGAGAGATCGACATGAAATTGGGCAAAAAAAAAATCTAAAAGGCAAATATTGATGAAAATGACAGGCAATTGCAGAGAACTTCAATCACAACAAAAGAGTGAGTGCGAATAGTAAACTCATCCTTCATCCATTGATCATGCAAAGAGGATATTATTAAACGAGTAACGATATTGGACATACAAAAGATTCATTTAACTAGACATCTCTTCGTCATCAAATATGGTGAGTGTCAAACGAATTACACTACATATCTAATCGATTTTACGTTTATATATAAATTAATTTTGTATTATCTTAAATATCGACAAAAATGAAGAACTTCTATAGACGTTTAATTAGTGAATATGTCGACGATAAATTCGACTAGGAGTCAATCGAGAAGAAGAAGCTGTCGACTCAATAATAAATACACAAATGAAGGTGATAGTGACAGTGGTTTTGCATTATATAGGTAGTTAAAACATGTCATTTCACAATCATTATTCAAGAATAAGTCACACGTGTACGCTTGAACCATGTATGGTAAAAAAAAGTGCATACAATAAACAACGAGAAGAAAAAAAAAGAGTACTTTAAGACTTTTTTTCATCATTACACTTACAGAATAGAAAAAGCAGAATTGCACAACTTATACACATTTGACTGTAACACAAGGGTCAGTCTTCTATTCACCCACATGCTCAAAAATAATTGAAGAAAAAAAAATCGAAATTATTCTACATGCATACAAAAATCCGCTTTGCTTTTTCTTAAGTCACAAAAAGACAATCTATGTAATCAAAAAATAATATTTATTATTGTTCTATAAAGTTCAACCAAAAAAGTTCTGAGTGTGGGTGTGGATGTCATGATCTATTAAAACACACCCATACCCAGCCACTCACACCCTCATGTCTCAAAAAAATAAAAATAACGATTTAAATCGGTCACAGTTTAATATCTTAAAACGCCTTCCTAGAAATGTGCAAAATAATACATCAGTGGCGTATCCAGGATTTTTAGACCGATGGGCAAAATGGGCAAGGTTTTTATTAATAGGTGAAATTATTCTTTGATTTAACAGAGTACTGATAACGTAAAAAGAATGCGAAAAAAATGACATGAGATTATTTTAATCAAATATCCATCAAACTCAGATCTTAAGCCTGAGTCAGATGTGTTTTAGTCTATTTTTCATCTCTCCACTGGTAACATTTATGTTTCAAATCCTGAACACCAAAATAAAGACAACAATGATACATTTCTGTATACAATTTCAATATTTCATCGAGATTTAAAGGGGCAGCGCGATCGGTGAGGAATAGTGAGATTAACCCTGCTCCTGGAAATTTTAACTGGCACTTTCTGTGGATTTGGATATTTTGTGGGTCGATTTGCTTCCACTTTGAGACACTTACTAGACAATATTCTCCGATATTTTTAAGATATGCCTTGGACAACTTTCTCTGGATTCAGGGAAACTTCAAGTTTCGAGAAATTCGTAGGCAATTTTTTCCAGATTTTGAAAAGAATATTAGATAATTTTCTCTGTATTCGAAGGAAATCTAAATTTGGAAAAGTCTATTAGACAATTTTCTTCGATTTTTCACATTTTTTTGCATGAAAATGGTTAAATTAAGCTCAAAAAAGATCCAAAAATTGTTGTCACACTCAGGTACATCTGTCGTTAATGTTCACATAGGGTAACGAATCTTAACGATAAATGTGGTTTTTTTTTTCTCAGCTTTTCAAAAACTCTTGACACTCTGATGACTTGTATAATATCAACTCTTGTATTCATACTTTTCCAATGTTATTTTACGTTCAAAAATAGTTATATCAAAAGAGTCAGGTTTGTTTCGTTTTTTTAATAGTAACTCTTCATGTTAGGTCTCATGATTCTTATATTAATCTGACTCAGTAAGACTGTACATGTTGCCATAATAATTAGTTTTTGTATAGAAGAGTGCTTTCTAATAAAATACTGGATAATTTTGAAAAGATCATTTTACAGGCTTTTGTGAACCAACTTTTTCGATTATTTCTCTACACTATCGTCTTCTGGCCTTACACATATGTTACAGATACATCTGCTATTAGAGTATTCATGTTAAAAGTTTCATCAATAAAGAGCGAGAATTGGTAGTGAAATCAACAAATGTTTCTCATGTATAGGTGAAGTGAAACTTATTGTAAGTCTTATCATGTTACATTTCTGGTTTAATTCAAAACTTAACATGATAGTCACAGACTCATGAGATATTCTTACATGTAAGTAATTCTAAAATACAGTTAACTATTGTTTCAAAGTTAAAATTAAACCAGAAATGATAGCAGAACAAGTCTTGCAAGAAGTTTCACTTCAACTATACATGAGAAACATTCAGCATAGATACTCCAATAGTGGATGTTGTGACATACGTCTGAAGTTAGAATACGACAGTATTAAGGAATACTCGAAAAAAGTTTATTTTCAATAATAACAGCAAATCTGCTTTTTCTCAAAAACTGTAAAATGATCTTTTCAAAACTATCCAATATTTTATCACAAGACATTCGTCTATACAAAAACTGATTGTTAGGGTAACATGTACAGTCTTAGTGAGTTAGATTAACATGAGAACCATCAAATCTGAATAAGTCACTGAGGAAGAATAAGTATATGAAAATCCTGTATAGTCTGACCAGATCTAGAAACATCAAAAAGCATCCCTACTGCGAAAAAAGGGTACAGATAGCAACAAAAAAACTTTTGGTTTTTGCTCTTTCTCGAAAGAACAAACAGAAAGTGCATGTGTGATTCCAACGAAAGAAAAATAGACTTGCTATCTAATTCAAAAACAAATAAACAATTCTGAAAAAGTAAAATTTCAATGGGCAAATCTTCAAGTTCGTTGGGGAACTGCCCATTTGCCAGTCCCTGGCCACGCCATTGCATCAATCCGTACTCGTGTCATATCGTTGTTTTTATTTTGTTTTCGTGAGTATGTCAGTGCATTTTTTTGCCTGTAATGCCCGTCTTTATCTATCTGAATAAGGGTCGAGAAGCCGTGCACACATATTATACTGCATTTTTTTATCTCTCTTTTCTTCTCTATTTGCTTTTGTTCGCATTTGTGTATCACACAAGTGAAATTTGTTGCATTCGTCGATTATGACCATCGTTGTCGCTCTTCATGGTGCACCTGGTGCGGGTAAGACGACGCTCATCGAACAGATCAGTGAATATCTGGGTAGTGATTGTCTCTTCATCGGGGAGAATTCTGATAATCTTTTCAGACCATCGAACACCAATGATAATCAAACGATGTGGTTTCTAAAGACGACAGATTTCGCTTGTAGGGACAAGCTGGCACATTTTATCGTAAAGCGAATCTCTCCATTATCATGGATTCTATTCACAGCCATGTGTTATATAATTACGGGTACAGTCTGGCCAATGGTTGTCCTCTTCATTGGCGTCTTCACTGTTTGTCGATTGTGGCGTTTTTCCAATAGTTATATAATGTCAAAATTGTGGGAATCCAATGTCTCCGCTTTGTTTTATCGCGAACGAAATAGCCATTGTCGATGGATATGGAGAGATCGAACTTGTCTCGATGTTTACACGTTCTGCTTGGTCCATGAAGCTACCGCAGTCCCATTGACTATGCCCGAAATTCTTCTGGAACAAACACGATCGACGAGTGTAGCGATCATAATGGATGTGCCACGAAATATCATCGAACAAAATTTACGCAGAAGACTTACAGCACCAACTTCAACTCCTATGAATGTCTTTTCCACAGGACTAATGGTTTGGTTTAACTTATTTATTGAAGACACGCTTGCTGCTCTAAAATTTCTTGAACGATGGTACACAATAATGAATGTACCCGTGATCAAAATCAGCCAACTAAAAGAGAAATTGGATCACGATACAACAACGAACAATATTCAATGGACTCAACATTCGATGGATGTGCTTATCGAAGCTATTGAACGAGCTATTGAACAGCGTAGTCCACTGCGCTCAACAATCGATCAATCGCTTATGCCATGGCAAATCGCACGGAAATCACACTTGTATCTTGAATGATCCATAAAAAGAGGCTTATACTTACTCAAACAAAAAAGAACACTTTTATACGGATGTGAACATTCAACAAAAGCTAATAAAGAATAGTTCTTCATGAGTCCTACCAACGATGAAAATTCAGGCCTCTGTATTGTTCTGATCACGAGATATGGTGCTTCAAAGTTCTGAAAAATAGTGAATTTTGCGTGTTTCTTTTTTGATATCCACAGAATACCATGCGCTGAACCGTTCAAGCTCAAAATTTTTTTATAGATAGAACTAAGAGTCATATGTATTCAAACAAAATTTCAACTCGATCGGTCAAGTCCCTTCTGAGATATTGCATATACAAAATCCAGATTTTTATGACTTTTAATTAAAAAGTCATTTATAATCTAGGATTCAATATTTTTCAAAACGACTTGTGCAGAAATTCATAAAATACTTGCCCCTATAACATATCTTAAATTGAACTAAATCTGAGGATCATGATTGAGTAAGTTTTGCTGAGAGTCGGTCGTGGCTTACGTGGACTAGTTCGTATAATGAAGCTGCGAACGCTGAGAATTAACATGTGCTCAGTCCTACCCCAAACTTCGTTGGTTGAACAAGAATCCAGACATTCTTTGAATTCAAAAAGAATCAGCAAACAACTCCATGTTGAGTAGTATTGATCATCACCGGAATAATGCTGAGTTTCCGAGTTCTCCTGTAAAAGAACCGGCGAACTAGTAATGTGGTTCACGTTCTCAAAAACGAGAACCCATATGTATTCTCAGGAATGAAACTCGAAACTGACGCGCCTAATGCATATCGTAATATTTGTTACAGATCTCTAAAATGGGCTCACTTTGCTGAGTAAAGACTTCAACATTCATTAACAATCGAATAGTGTCTTAAAACAGTTTGTTAGAAATGCATAAAATTGCTGCAACACAAAGATTTCCACGATCGATGAGTCACCATTTTTCACAAGTATCCGAAAATCATTTTATGGCATCAACCGGTAACCGTATTGCATCATTATTTTTTTTATAAGCATTTGAATCCCACTCTGTCATCATTACAATTGCCTGAAGTACTCATCTTTATCTACCTGAATAAAGACTGAAAAACCTGTACACACACACATTTTACTGCATTATTATCTTCTCTATTGGCTTGTGTTCGTCTTCAGGCGCACTTGGTGAAGGCAAAACGATGCTCACCCAACGGATCGGAGAATATCTGGGCACCGATTGTCTCTCGCTAGTGGAAAATGCCGGTCTTTTCACAGCATCGAGCACTGATGACAAGCAAACGATGTGATTTCTAAAGACAACAATTATCAGGACTAGCGACGAGCTGGCACATTTTGTCGTCGAACAAATCTCTCCATTATTATTGATTGTACTCACGGCTATGTGTCACTTAGCCACGGGTATAGTCTAGGTGTGGAGTGACGATGAACAAGTGATATTACCCACACTCACACTCTTCAAAATCAAAATTTGACATATATAGATCTGGTCGGTAGTCTCGTGGATCTTTTTTTAAACTGAAAACTGACTATAAATGAAAGAATTCGTCTTTAATTAATGATTTGTATAATTTAATATTTTATCTTTTATTTGTTGACAATTTTCAAAAAAAACCAGACTATTCTCGCATGTTGCAAGAAGAATTAAAGAATATGATAAAACCAGTAATTAAAAGATTGAGCAAATACTTGTAACTAATATATCTGATTCTAAAACATGTTCAATTGTTAACATCATTTTTAGCAAATAAGTCTTTTTTTCTCGTTATAATAATTTTGAAATGAATACAACGATAAAAGAAAAACCTAAATTTTACTTCTAACCATTAAAAATCAGGCACGATCTGATAGATAATGCCCAAGTTTCTTTCAATTCAATAAATAAACAAGATGCTTGAAAAGGAATTGTTAGCTTTTACAATAAAGATGCGAGTTCATAATTATTAGACAACCATTAAATTTTGTCTTTAAATAAAAGATAACAAATAATACAATACATTGTTTAATACAAAAAAATAAAATGACAAAAAAGGTGTCGTAAGATAGTTTTAATTAATGGAGTCTTCCTGAAAAGTAAGATATCGCTCAATCAATTAAGAACTCTTCTCGACAAATTCGATTGTAGCCAAAAGAATAGATTCTGAGATAAATATATAAGCATGTAGCGTAAGATGTTGAAGATAAGAATTCTTAAAAATACCTTTGATTCTCAGAGGTTTTATTAGAAAAATTCCGAAATCATCTGAAGCAATATAAATGTGTAATATAATCAATAAAGTTTATCTCTTAAATCAGATTTTTCAAATTAAATGAGTGATTTTTATAGTCCATCCAATCACAAATATTTTGTAAAAAGTCTTTTCATTTTATCTCTAATAGAATTTTCTTGTTCAGTAACCTTTCTATGTATATAATTATCAACGGGAGATTGTTATGCTTTGCGAGTTTCTTATGAATAATAGTGATTTGCACTGGCTCTGAATGAATATTCAATGTTTACAATCAGAAAAAAGTAAACCGAGAAACGAATTGTTCCGTCCATATAATAATACTTCTACTGCCTCCCTGTGTTCTTCAATATTCATATTCATAGTCATCACGGGTTCATTTAACTTCCTAATAAACATCTCAATGATATAGAAGAAAGACAATAACTGATTTCTCTGAACAGAATCAAAACACAACACGTTTTGATGCCGACTATTTGAGAAAACTGTTCTTCAAATACAACGAGTGTAATAAGTTCGGACGCTTCTAACTGAACACTCTCGTTTTGTTAACATTAGTCAGCTATTTCAATTTGTATATGAGAAAGTGCGTTCTCAGCGAAGCGTGACGTGGCACAGAGAATTACATGATTAAGAAGAGATTGATAGGTGCATCAAATAATTTTGTAAATGAGAAAGAAAAAAAATCAAAAGTTAATTTATGATTTACTTGAGTTTAGCATAAGTTTGTATCAAACAATTGAACGAAGCTAAATTTGAATCTTCTTCTTGCTTCCATATAAATACATAGGGATCATATGATGAAATATTTTTTGAACATTTTTTTTTTTACCAAATTAAGTAAAAGTTTGATTATTTTATCAGCAGAGAATATTACAATCATTAATGGGTATGAAGAGAAAAAAAAGAAATTAGTCATTGGTTTTACACTTACATCCCACTCTTTTATAGATTGTATGTATATATGCAAGTAACATAGGAAGAAAAAAAGAAGAAGAAATGTACGATACCAAAAGAAAACGGGCACCAACATCTGACATTTGTTTCCTTCTATCTTTCATATGTATATCCTTCGTCAAAGATAGCAACAGAAAGCAGAAAAAATATTTCTAATCCATATGAATTAACGGATATCTTGTTGTTGTTGTTTCATTTCTGCTATTCGTCGAGCTTCTAGTAGGTGTCGTCCTCAGTAATTGAGTGCACATGTTGCTGGCATTTTGTCTGTTTGACGAGTAACGAAAAACATCAAGAGAACACAGGGCACGGTATTTATCTGTTTTCAAGTATTTATACCGTCTTCTCAGTCGATCAACCTTTTTTTTCTGTTTCATGTACGGATAAGTCGATAATACAAAGATAAGTTCCAATCGATTCTATCCAGTTGATAAACATATATTACTTTAGATTGAATAACCGGAAAATGATTTTTCAATTATTTTTATTATTTTAATAATAATAATCATTGATAAAGAAAAAAAAATTTACTACATATTCACAGATTGACATAAAATGCATAGCATTTTATGCTATATTATCTTTCTTCAATAATTTTGCTTTGTATGGAAATCTACGTAAAACTAAAATTTCCACCTCCACAAGGGTTAGCTAAACGCAACTTGTATTAGTAATCGAAAAAGAATATTTATATCAGTAGATGAGATTTTTAAAAAGATATCGTAAAATATTAAGTTTTATTGTATTAAAAATTCCTAAATGGTGTCACCTGAGGTTTGAACATCGACAAACATTAATTATTAAATGAAAATGAAATAATCTCATGTTGAACTATTGATTCAACAGAAATGTATTTTAGATTTCCCTTCTTTTTTTCTATAAGCAAAACTTCTAGAAATGACCGAAACTATTATATTTCATCTATTCGATAGATTATTCCATTTGAGCTGAAAGATTCGCTTCTGAAATTATTTTGTAATAAAAGCAACTATGTTTATGATAGTAAGTTCTACTTTATGACGGACTGAATTAGATTTATGGTACATGGAATTAGATGTCGAAAGGTAGGCTATTTTGATGACTACTACATATATTTTATGAGCAATCAATCTTATAATTGTGAAAACTTACGAATTTTCCAGGCACTATCGAATATGTATTGAGATTAAATATGAATTGTATATGTTCTCACTTTTTAGAAACACTTCAATTTTATTCAAAAACTATAGAGTTGGATGATAAATACTTGCATGAAGAAAAATAAATCGCATTGATACTATAGCAGTACTTTCTCATTAATTAAAAAGGTTACGATTGGCTTAGCAATTGAGGTATTTGTTGGATATTACAGTTTCTTGGCTATTGTCAATTGTTCACTTTCGTTCTAGGTCTTTCCCGCTAGTATAACTTGTCTATTCATTTTGATAATTTCATTTAATGACTATGGAATCTGAACAACAACTTTCATCATCGGATTCAACAATCGTTGGTATTGTTGAGAATATCAAAAAAAGTGCTAGTGATTCATGGAATTATCGTGGTCTAGAACTTTCAAATGAGATGCTTGTTTTACTTATAAGTCATCCAAATATTGATAAAGCTGCTGCTGCTCTTGATGTAACGATTGGCAGTTTAGCTGATCCAAGAGATATTCCTGGTATTGCTCATTTTCTTGAACATATGCTTTTTATGGGTAGTTCAAAAGTAAGTCTTTGTTTACAATTGTGATCGCAAGAATTTTCTTCCTTCTACTATTTCGATAAATATAAACTACATTCGAAGTCAATTTTTAATTCAAATAAGTTTGCTTTTATAAGAATTGCTTATCGGTCCCAATAGCATATTTGTCCTATTTAATATAGAATTTCTTCAGGAGAAGTATTGGATTTGCAATAAACGTAAGGTTTGAAGAAAATTCATAGTTGCGCTTTCGTTTTTGATATAACAAAAAATAGGAAAGATAGAACACTACATGAGTGTCGGACAGAAATGAGAGAAAGAGGTAAAAGACTGCACCCTGGATCATTATAAGCTCGTTATCTTGATAACAACTAAATTTACAAAAGAAGATCGCCTTGATTAAAGACAATTCCTTTTAGGAACATCTGTAAATGATTTGATGTGATCCAAAATCTCGTCTAAGCAAAGAAGATTTCTAATTTTAATGATCAATAATGAGAACAATTTTATAAAATTTTTAGTATCCAGATGAAAGTGAATATTCAAAATTAATAGTAGGAAATGGTGGTTGTTCAAATGCTTTTACAAGTGATGATCATACAAATTTTAATTTTGATATTAAGCCAAGTTCATTAGCAGATGCACTTGATATGTTAGTTTAATTGTTTATTTCTTTTCGATGAAATAAATATTTTTATTTGGTTTAGTTTTGCTCAGTTTTTTATTTCACCACTCTTTGTCACATCATCGATCGATCGTGAATTAGAAGCAGTTAATTCTGAATATGAAGCAAATTTATTTAAAGATACATGGCGTATTTCTCAATTAGAAAAATCTACATCGGATCCAAAACATCCATATTCAGGATTTTCTATTGGTAATAGAGAATCATTAAGAATAATACCTAAACAACGTGGAATTGATATTCGACAAGCACTATTGGATTTTCATAAAACTGAATATTCATCAAATCGAATGAGTTTAGCTGTACTTGGCAATCGTACGTCATTAATTTTTCAAAAAAAAAACTCACTAATTTTGTTTTCAGAATCACTTGATGAACTTCAATCATTTGTTATTAAAAGTTTTAAAGAGGTACAAAATAAAAAATTGAAAAAACCAAAATATCCTTCTGATCCATATGGTGAAAGCAAACGAAAAGTTTGTTTTTTTATTAAGCAAACTTTTTTTGGGATTTTGTTTTTTTTCTAAAGACAATTTGCTATCATATTCCTGTGAACGAATCTCGTCAATTAACAATCAATTGGGTTATACCTGATCATAGAGAATTATATTATTGCAAAGTATGTATAGATCATTTGACTATTTTATGTTAATCTTCATATATTGAATATCTCAATAATATTCAGCCTGAATCATATCTATCACATTTGATTGGACATCAAGGTGATGGTTCATTATCGTCATATTTAAAAACATTGGGTCTTGCTATTGAATTGGTAGCTGGTGAAAGTAATTCTGCACCTGGATTTAGTTTTTTTTCTATTGATATCCAACTAACTATTGAAGGATTGAGTAAATAGAATACAAAAATTAATTAAAAATTTTGTTTTGTTAAAATTAGATCAATGGGAACGAATTCTTTATAGTGTTTATCAATATTTGGCTATGTTAAGTAAAGAAGGACCAAAAGAATGGATTTTTAATGAAGGCAAAGTAGGGTGAAGAGTTAAGTTTGAAGAAAAAAAAAAATTTTTTTTTTATATGGTTTTATGTTTAGAATATAAATCAAATGGAATTTCAATTTGAAGAAAAAGGACAGCCGCGTTATATTGTATCAAATTTAGCTGGTAGAATGAGGGTATGTATATCTAAATAAGAAAATATCAATATGAATTTTTTCCGCTTTTTTTTTGTAGGATTATCCATTAAGTGAATGTTTATCTGGTCCATATGAAATGCGTGAATTTCGTCCAGATTTAATAAATGAACTTCTTAATGAATATTTAATTCCAAGTAAAATGAGGTAAAAAAGGGAAAAAAAAAGACTTGAAATTTATTTTCAAAACCATTTGAATGTTCTTTAAGAGTATTTCTCACAAGTAAAGAGTTTCTATCAATTGCAATAGAAAAAGAAAAATGGTATGGTACACAATATAAACAAGAATATTTATCAGAAGAACTTATTAAACAATGTGAAACATGTGAAATTAATCGTGAACTTTATTTACCAATACCAAATAAATTTATTCCAACAGATTTTCAATTATTTTCTAAAGAGAAAAATCTTACACGACCACAAATACCAACAAAGATTAAAGTAAAAAAACTTATTCTCTTGATTTTAATTTAAAAATTAGATTTTTTTTCAAAAAAGGAAAATGAATATTATCGTCTTTATTATACTGAAGATTTATTTTATAGATTTCCTAAAGCTTATATTTATTTTGAATTTCGAAAGTAAGAAAAATATTTCCATATGTTTTTTTTATGTTATTTTTTAACTTCAGTCCATTAGTATATGTTGATCCAATACATGCCAATTTGACTACACTTTATGTTGAATTAATTAATGATTCATTAACTGAATTTGTCTATCAAGCACAACTTGGAGGTTTAGACTATGAATTATATGATTGTAATGATAGTATTCAAGTATATTAATATTAATTTTCAATAAAAATAATTTCTTTTATTTGATTTTTGTCTAGTTAAATATTTCTGGATTTAATCATAAAATAAAAGAATTACTTAATATAATTATTGATCATATGATTAATATTAAAATAGAAGTAGAACAATTTGAAATAATTAAAGAAAAAGTAATTCAATTGATAAGAGAGATTAAACTTATTGAAATATTTTTTCTAGGTTAAACAATCATTACAATTTTTTCGTCGTTGTGTTCCTTCTGCAATGGCAAATTCTGGTCTTACGTATTTAACAGCTGAATATGATTGGAATAATAATGAATTACTTAGTTGTCTTAATGGTAGATTTAAAAAAGTTAATTTTAAAAAAAGAATTTCTTCATTTTTCTTTGTAAGATATTACAATGCATGATGTAGAATCATTCATTACTCGAATATTAAAACGTTTTTATATTGATTCATTAATGTATGGAAATTTAACAAAAAATGTACGAAGATTTATCTTTTTTTGTTTGTTTGATTTCAGTTTGAATATTTGTTGTTGTTTTTTTGAATAGCAAGCAATTGAGTACATGACTTTAGTCAAACAAAAATTTCAAGAAAAATCTTTTTATCAACCACTTTTTCCTAGTATGTGGTTTAATCAACGTGGATTAATATTACCTAATGGTTTGTTTGACTTCTCTTATTTATTTTAAATTGAATATTT